CGGGGCGGGGCGGTGCACGCAAGTCGGGTTGGGTGGCCGCCGCCAGGTCAGAATTTGTCTGCCCCACTTGGAAAACTGCCCGGGAAGAGAAGTTTCTGAAGGCACAAAGTCAGCTCAGTGCTGAGGGGCACGCAGAGGTGTTTGACAGTAGCCCCACGGAGGGGAGGGGGGCACGTCTCTCCCTCCGAGCTGAGGTCTGCTGGGCTCTAGCCCCACGCCGAGAGCTGGTGTGTTGAGAGCGCGAGAGCTCTGCTTTGGGGCGACTTCTGCGCGTTTACTGACTCTGCAGCCCAAGCCTCAGCCTCAGCGGGGAATCTCCACACCCAGAAGAGCCCTAGCCCCACCTATGGCCCTGGGCCAGCTGGGAAATCCCAATAAAGACAAGATGCAATGTGTTTTAGAGCAGGCGCTTTCCCGTCACCATGCTAACCTCGTTTCGGCAGCGGCCTGTGGGAACTGTAAGGTTAAAGTATTGCTAAGCGTAGTCAGAGTTCAATTTTCTTCCTCCGTCTCATGCTCACATGATACCAACATCCAGCACCTGCTCTGCAGAGCTGAACTCAATCAATCACCTACAAGCTGGCACGTATTGAAAACATATTAACATGACTGATGAGTTGCAGATCCCACCAACCCTCAAAAAAAAAAGGCCAAAACCAGGCAACCTGGGGGGCAAACTGCCTTACATGTCCCAGGCCGAGGGTGAGATTACCTTTGGCAAAGGATTCTGCACCAAACTACAGGGTTTGTTCTCCTTTTAAAGGCCATTTAGATCGCAATAGGATATGAATTCAAAATGCAATAGCGATTCCTGAAGAACTCCATGCTTAGGCAAGTTATAAATTTGGGCCTGTGGCATTGTGGTCTAAGCGACGTAACAGTTCATGGCTGATCACATGTATTTGTTCTCATGCTAACCTTCCCTGGTGCGTTCTCTCCCACAACTCTCTTTGTACTTAAAGAAAACAACTTCTGAAAAAAGGGCTCAGAGAGGATGTGCTCCTGTGGGCTTCCTTACAAGAGAGGCAACTCACCCCTCCTGATCATCCAAGGATGCTTGGAAGGTGTATTAGACCCAGCCTAATGGGAATGAACAGCGCAGAAAGCAACACATCCAGCACACAAGTTTCAAAACTGTTATTTTTAAGTTATATATTTAAAGAACTAAAACTACAATAGATTCCTTCAGAAGAATATTAGGAGATTTGGTCTTCTAGAGAAAAATAGGGCAAATTATTCCTTTACATGTGCACTTTGTACATTTCATTACAATGCAGTCAGACAGAATTTAAAGCTCACTGTGGTCTCTTCCACACAAGGAAATACAGCAAAGCTCCAGAAACCGATGATGGGCTTGGGTACGCACTGAAGTCATGCAGATTCACCTTGAAGAACATCATACAACTGAATGAAGAATCATTTTTGTCACTTCAAAGTGAGTCACGTGGCACCGGATTTAGACAAATAAAATTCTATCCTGATGTCCCTGTGTCCCATCCCTAGGTCTGATGGACGTAAGGCACTGAGGGAGCTGTTAAGTAACACTGCACATGGAGACTTCGGTGAGGCTAACAGCCCTGAAAAATGTGTGCTTATGAATCAAAGCAATCATCAGACACGAGGTAACAAAAGGGGCACAAACTTTGAGGAGATCTGATCAGGAAAGAGTCTCATGGCTCCAAGCCAACATTAGTAGCCAAGTTTGTTTCTAATCATGTGTGGTCAGTCCCCAATTGTAAATGGAAATTCTGCTATGGGCTTCAGAGGGAAACAGAACCAGATCCCAGCAGGATTACTGCTGAGTATGCCTCTGGGAGACAGGAAACGTGGTCAGAAAAATATTTTATTGTCAAGCTTATTATTAGAGCAGAGGAGGAAGGGATCAGGATAAACAATTGACAATTTCCCTTTCATTTATGCCATCACTCCAATGTCCCCAAAAACTGGGTTCTGAGCCTGGATCTAGCATCAATATGTGTCCAAAGTGCAGGGAGTCCTAGAAGTTAGCCAAAGTCAGGTCTGCAGAGCCCATGAACCTAAAAAAATGCAAGCCCCTCTACAGAGGGTGGCTGGAAGAGCCGACCGACTTCCTTTCAGATCTTCAATAGCCTTTTAGGGTGAGTGACTTCCCAGCAGCTCTGTAGCAACTCAGCCTCCCTTGGTGGCTGTGCCGAGGGCTGCTACACCAGGCAAGATACAAATCAACTTTCAGTATCAGTGCCTAAACCTGGAGCACATGTACAGCAAAGCCAGACCTGTGTTTAGCATTGTAATCCCTGGTGCTGCTCTAAATAAGCTCCCTGAGACTCATTACTAAAATTAAGTCCAGATTACAAACTTAATCACACTAATGACAAACTTTAGAAGTGGGCCAAAGTGGAACCTCAGCTTTGAATAACCTTAGACCTGCGTAGGATATGTATGCTCTCAACACAAACCAGCGTGCCCAAAGCATCACACAGAGCTCCTCTTGGCACATGTGACTTCTCAGTTATCTAGAGAGTAAAAGGCTCCAGACTCTTCCAGATGAGCACACATTAAAAGAACTTCAAATCAAAATTTCTGCTGACACAGAAGATCCCCTTGTGTCCAGGTCCAGTGCTTATATTCCTTTTCTTTCCCTGAGTGTGAAGATGAGATGTCTGTCTCCAGAGTTTGCTGATGAAAGGAGCAGATTTTTAGCAGTCACGTTCTGAATGTACAAGTAATTATCAGAGTCCTCAATTACTTTCTTAAAACGGAGAAGCACTTCAGTTCTGTATTGCTGGGAATAACTAAAAACATGGCCTCTGTCACGCTGGTCAGACGGACAACATCTTCTGCTTGGAAGTACTGCCCAGAGAACCTACAGAATAGGATTTTTGCTGTCTAAATCACAGCTCCAGCTCAGACAAGTTTTGGGAGGGCTGACGTGATTGTCACTCACAGCTGGTCACCTCCAAATGTCATCCCCTTTCTTCCTCAATGACCCCCCCTATGCAGCTGCATCTCACAATAAATCCTTTCTTCACTGAATTCAGTTACTTACTGTGGCTGTTAATGATGTATCAAGCTGTAGCCATCGACTGTAACGTAATCAGGATCATCTAAAACACAGCACAAAAATAGTAGGTCTGTTCATGAGGAGCACTCATAAGAGCTCAAGGGACTTTACACAAGGACAAAAACACTACGTACTACAGCCCACCCATGATAAAGGGATGGGAGGCAGGGATGAATGCAGGCTCAAAGAGAAGATTTGCCTCAGACCCTAAGCCCCGCTACAGTATCCCATCACTAAAGCAGCACTGAAAATGATATAGCTAGTGCAGTTTAAGCAGAGAAAGGCCCAAACGGCAGAGGCAGGCTGGATCACAAGCCCAGACATCCTTAAGCTTCAGAAATGCCTATACGCAAGGCTTTGATTAGAACATCTTCCTGGGTGAAATCGAGGCTCCAAAGGCAGTGGCAAACTTTGCAGGAATTCCTGTGGGGACTGGATTTCCTACAGGAGCTTGGCCTAAAGCAATTCCTTTCGAGAGCTAATGGTCATGAAAAGAGAGCAGAGAGGTCTTCTGTGGTGGCAGAAGCCACATAAAAAAAGGACCGACGCCCACAAGTAACTCACCTGGCCCGCTGGTCGGGGTGGGTAAAGGTCCTCTCCTGCACAGAAAGAGACAGAGCTGAAGATCTGCTACAGGATTCTCCCCCTTCCTAAAAAGTCTGTTCAGGCTGTTGCTTGACTGTGTGACTCCCCACACTGCACTACCCAGAGCCTGTGAGAGGGCCCGACGTTTGGCTGGCCTGGGTTTTAGAGATCTATTTCCAAGTCATTTCATGGTTCGTTAACCATCAATAGACTGTTTGGCAGACACGGGAATCAAAGCCGATACAGTGTGGGAGAGGAAAAAATAACTAGAAAGCAATGATTTGGCAAAACATTTACATAGGAGTCTTGGGGCATGACACGTGCACTTTACAACATTTTGACATGCCCCTCCCCAAACTGAGACCTCAGAAAGTCATAATTGGGCATGACTCCTGTAGTGACTCAACAACCAAAACGGGACACTCATTCATCTTAAGCAACAATCTTTAGCCCTGAATCCTCCTCTTCCCTGTGGCAGAAGCATCCTTCACTTCACCCTCCCTGCCCAGCTTCTGCCCTGGGATAGTGTATTTTCTTGTCCTCTCCTCTCTCACTGCAGCTGATGCTGTTCTTCCCTCTACTCACACATGCCTTTAACTGATCCAGCCCTCCTCAGATAGATAACAAAGGCAGGGAGAGGAGAACCATGCAAGGAAACTCAGAAAGTTTCAATCACTCTTGGTAGATTAGGAGCCAAAGGCTGCTCTCTACGGGATCTCCAATTGTTTCCAGAGACAGCAAGACACAACACTTGAAATTCCATGGCTGCCCAAGGACTTCTCTGCTGTCCAAGGACTACAGCCCCTCACTTCAATCCAAAGGACCACCGAAGAGGCTTGGTACGAGAACAGATGAGCACAGGGTGTCCAAAAGCACTTTTAGAGTAATGTTCCCAGCCATGAAAAGGGAGAAATGACCCCAAAAGAGAAGTGGGAGCAAAAAACTCTACTCTGAGTGGACTTGAGGAGGTCATTGAGCAGTTTACTATAGGTAGTACATTGGTATAAATCCTGCTGTAGGCAGCGACGCACTGCATAGTCCATGGCAAGTATTTTCCCTTAACACTTCCAAATCAGGATTCCAACAGACTGAAAGCAACAAAATACAATTTTTGGAGAGCTTCATTTGCAATAGCTAATCCATCATTTGAAATTTCGCGTTATATCCCTTACCTTGATATAGGTACAGGCGCCTGACTTCTCACAGGTGTTGCATTTCTCTGTGCATTATAGTAGTTTTCATAAACAACAGGAGCTAGAAAAAAATTGACAATAGTAAAGTACAGACCTTTTATAAGCATGAACTAATTTCCAATACCAATATTCAGCTGCTAAGCCTTTCCTCCTTCCCTGGGAAGACGTCTGATCAGCTTAAAAGCTTAAAAACTACAGACAGGGGAGATCTCTTCAGGGACTGGTGATAAGTGAGTGGCAGAGGCAACAGTGCTGCATGCCAGAGAATGAATGGAGGGACATTAGAAACATTTTTTGCACCCAGACTGAGGCTGATCAGAGCAACACCACCGTGAGGAGGATTAGCCAGTCAGCACTACTTTGGGAGATGGCACTGAGCTCTTACCTGGGGCCAAACTTCCAGTTTTGCGTAAATTTACAAAAAATTCAATATCCTTCTCAATGCTGCACATTTCTAAACTCTTGCGGATTTCCTCATATTTCTGCAAAGGAGAAATAAAAAGCATTTCTATACATCATGTTGAAAAGCAAGCATTGGGTTTTAATCATCTCTCATACCTGGGTTGAAAGCACAGTGCTCACCCTCAGACACAAGCTTCTGTGGTAGAGGAGGCAAGGGGGGAATTCCTGGAGGAATTATCATCTGTAAAAGCTCTGGTCAAAATCCTCCTGCCTGCATGCTCCTGTTGCTGGCTGGTGGCTGATCAAAGGCCACAGGCCAACCTGGACGTGACACAGTCCAGCGCATAGGAAAGCAAATAAGGCTCTGCTTTCCCATTCCCAGTGCTCGCCAAGGAGCTCCTGCATAATCTTTGGCAAAGTCACTTCCCACTACACTTCCATTGCCTCGCCTTTTTCAGCTACAAGTTTCTTAAGCCAGGGAGAACGGTAAGGGGGCTGAAGACATGGGTCACAGCAGTGAAGGTTGTCGTCTATGAAATTCTAACCGTTATGCCAAGATGCTTGACCGAACTCTCGGAAACCCCTCTGGCTGCGCTGAGGTTAAAGCAGGTAGCCATGGCAAAAGTGGTGGAGGAGACTGTGCAGCAGCAGGCACAAAGAGCTGATGTAGGAGTCTGCACCATGCTGCCCAGCACTTTGCGAGAGTTTATTAGACCACATATAGAGCAGCATAGAGCCAGTCCACTGCTGGTGCCTGGTCCTGAGCTGATTAATCTTCCCAGGTCTTGGAGCCTGAGACACACGGTACAGAGAGAGATGGGGTCTCTGTTGCTCCAACCACAGATACCCACAAAAGCTTAGACTTAGAGGGTCATTATTGTTACTACAGCCTGACAAAAAGCTGGGTAAAAAGAACCCAGATGGGTCAGCAGGGATTCAAAAGAAGACTTCTCCAGTCCAAAACAAAAATGAAGGTTTGGAGAGTGCTTGATTTGACTTACGTCATCATTCTGCACACAGTCCTGAGAGAGCTGGTTGGCGTGAAGCCACAGGGCACTGCGGAAGTAGTTGATCCGTTCGCACTCCTGAGTCTCAAAGAACTGAAAGAACAAAGACACAAAAGGACATGAGGGTCCTCTGTCAGCACAGCGAGAAAGGTCATGACTGCAGTGGGGACTAGTCCTCCGAGTCCAGCTGCTCACACATGTCCTAAGCAGCAGGGTGATCTGAGTTCACATTTCACCTCTTGATCGCATTTTAGTCTTGCCTCTGCTATCTACCAGAGAACTTTACCTGACCCTGAGTAAAGAAAGTGGATGTGAGCAAAGGCACCTCTGACTGCTGTGATCCTACGCTCTGTCATCCAGCAACATCTTTAAATGAGAGTGCATCCCTTTTTGCTGGATGGTTTGCATCCCCAAGTATCATTACAAAGAAATCTATCCCCAGCAAAGGAGCAGGTCAGGAGACAAGTCTCCCAGAGGAGAAACCATGCCCTCTATGCAATGAGGTATTTATATCAGTTTTATATATGTATGTATGTATGTATGTATGTATGTATTGTTTACATATATATGTATGTATGTATGTATGTATGTATGTATGTATGTATGTATTAGCAGTTATGACCTTTGCATTGTCACAGTGAAGTGACTGTTCTAGCCAGACGATGGCAGCACCAAACATGCAGGTAAGTAACAGACAAAAAGGTCACTACTTAAGTGCATTGACTGTCAATTTTAAAGGGTAAGGAAAGAAAAAAAAAAATTAGAAAGCTTGAAGCAGTGGAACCTTGAATCCAGTAGCCAAGCATTAGAAACATGCAGGTTAGCTGCAACAAGTCCTGCTGTTTTACTGTGGAGAGAATACAAAGCAGTGTAGGCAAATCTGCTCTAGCCCTAGCTCAAGCAGCAAAGAGAAGGAAATCAGAGGACCACACTGCAGCAGGAAGGCTTTCCACAGCATTTACCTCACAAGCTTTGATGTGTTCTTTCTGCCATTCTTCCCGGATCTTCTCCAGTGCAGCAATATTCTGCTGGTAACTCCTGTCTGTGATGAAAATCAAATTGTCGATTCATTTTAAATCAATTAATTAAAAAAAAAAAAACCTTACAGCTCTGTATGTGGAACATCCAAGAGAACAATTCTTAGCAATGCAATGCAGACGTGGAGAACTGTGGATCATCTACAGTACACAATGTGAATGGGACATAGTTTAGCATATGCATTTCCATTCGTTCTGGTTCTCCGCAGCGTGCGAGAGAACTTGCTTGCATTCCTTCCAAGGCATAAATGTGCCTGCACTAGCTAAGCAGAGACTGGATCTTCTCCCTCCCATGTGCAGCCTCGTGGCCTTGATGCACAGTTACGGTGGGGCCCTACACAGCCTGCCCCACAGCTCACCAGAAGGCTAAGCAGACGTGACACATCTCCTGAGTTCACCCTTTGGACAGGGAGATCCATCGCACAGGCACACGACCAGAGCAAAAGCAAGAGCTCCTGCCCTCCCCACCTGCCTCAGGCACTGGGTGCCAGCTTGGCACTGTTAGCATCCCCAGCCCTGGTGCCTGATGCCTGCTTGCCCATACTGCACAGCAGGAACAGAGGGAGCAGTCATGGCTGGGGTCATGCAAGCAGGGTGACAGAGGCTCCTCCAGGGCAAGTGCCTGCCTGACAATATCTCTAGACAGGTGTTTCTGAGGAGCTGCAGCTAAACCAAGAGCTGGAGAGTCCACCCCAGCGTCCAAGTGCCTTATCACAGCTTCACACCTCTCGAAGGGCGACCCTCTACACTGCCTCCTGCCCCAGAAAACACTCCACTCGCCCTCCAAACATAACCAGTACACTTCATTTTCACACTCACCAGAGTCTTCCAGAGCTGACTTTGTCTGAGCCAACTTCAGGAAGAGCTGTCAAAAACAGGAGAAAGAAGAAAGGTATAAGACAGCTGTGGTGTATTGCCTATGGCAGTGCAGTCCAACTGGGGAAGACTACCAGCCCTCCCATCTCACCTCAAACCCCAGAGCTGAGAGAAGAGACACGAGGCAAATTCTGACCAGGAAGAGACACTAGCTCAGCCAGCAGTGAGTCTCTCACACAGCACAACACTGTGTAGAGGTGTAGGTGCTTCCCAGTTTGGAGCACGACCTTGAAACGGTGCAGGAAGCCTGCTGCACTGCTCACTTCCCTTTCTGCCCCTTCCCCATGGCCACCTGCCTCCCTTTACCTTCTCCTGCTGCTTCTGTGTGACCAGATTTGCATTGCGGTGCACAGCCTGCTCTGCCTCGTCTTTGTCCCTGCAGCGTTGTTCATAGAGCCGCTTAGCCTAGGAGAGCCACCAAACGGAGCAGGAACATGTCAGCAAGCAAAGAGATGGAAATACAGCTAATAAAATCTGGCATGCAGGATACTTTAGAGGAAAGCACAGCCTATGAATGAAAAGGCTGGTACAGGCAGAGCACTCAAGTTCCCAGACGTCCCAGCCCTACTGCCTGAGCAAAATGACAACACAAGCTGCTCTTTGCTCAGGCAGAAAAGCTCACGGTGATTGAGTCACTGACTTAAATCACTCTTATCTGAGCCTGCAAAACTGCCACCAGCTATTTCCCTTGCATATTCTTCTGTTTTGTTGAGTAGGCTCTGCATACCGTTTATGCAGACACAACACAGAGAGAACTGAGACAGAGGAAGGCTCTTGTGGTGAGGTCTGCCCCAGCTCCATGTGGGTGCATTTCAGCTGTGCTAACTCGTAGGGCAAGAAACAAATGTACACAACACAGGTACTGCATGTGCCCACGAGTCCCAGGCGTGCGGCTGCAGGAAGCAGAGCAGCGTGTTTGCTGTACCTCCATGGTCTTCTTGTACTGCAAATTCCTGTTTTTGTGAATCGCCTCCATTATGAGCTCTATCTGTGAAGAGAACAGACCCCGTGTCAGCATGTCTCTGACCTGAAAGCTCAAGGGTGAACTACAAAGAGGCAAGGACCACATTATGAGATGGGTTTAGGCACCTTCCTCTACCTGGAGTTAGGTGCTCCAATATTCTAAACCAGTCCGAAACATTCACCCTTGTTTCTATCTAAGCCTCCATTTGTATAAGCAAAGGAGCTCTGTAAATGAAATACTAACAATATAGAGTACTGTATGACTTCCATAGGGCCTGGCAAAATTGGCAAGCCCACACTGGCTTTCCCCTCTGCTGAGGCCCAACCAGCCTCTGGTTCTGATAGTTTTCCCTCATTTTTCAGACAAGGGAACGTCAAGCCAAAAGAAGTTAAAATGCTAGGCCCAAGTCCCCTCAAAATCACAGCTAGAGTCATGTTCCTGGCCCTTACCCTGTAACACAAACCAGCAGACACCAGCGCTCCCAGCCATATTTTAGGAGCTCCCACGGCCACGCCGAAGTCTCCATCACCCCCACAGCCTCTCACACCGCTCCTAACATGCGAGCCCCAGGCGTCAGCTCACACCACAGAGAGGAGGCACAAGCTCCGCGAAAGGGAAGGCACCACATCACTAGGCTGCTACTAAGGAAAGTGTTTGGGGGGGGGTAGGTCCCAAATCGTAATGCAAATCTCTGAGCTACCAGTTTGCTGCAGGGACACAGGAGATGGGAAGTAAATTCATGAGTGACAACCACGGCATGATGACAACCACGGCATGCGACTCAGTGGGTCGGCAACACCTCCCATGCTGGGAGAACAGCAGGGGACACATCCAGTGCTCCTGACCTGTCCCCAGCTGTCCCAAGCGAGGCACCTTTGCCTGAAAAATCTTCCTCAGCAAGGCTGGAGTCCCTGGAGCCAAGCCCCCGCTAGCTATCACCGGCCCTGGCAAAAGGAGCCCAAATGACAGCACTCAGCCGTGAGGAGGAGGAAGTCGGAGGTTGCTGCACAGCTCACCAGTGTGATTGCAACATTTAGGAGCAAACTCTAGACTTCCCAGAAGCCATGAGCCGCTAGTGGCAGGGAGGGGGCTGGGGCACAGCAGCACACATGGGCCAGGAGCGGTCCCTCGCCAGGGCAGGAGCTTGGCATTCATGCAAGCCCCGGTACACCCTGCGGCAAAGGTGCTGGCTCCCGCGTCTCCCTCAGCTCCTGACCTTTTTCCGATGCAGTTTTTGCTTTTCTCTGAAGTCCTCCATTTTCTTTGCTTCCTCACGAAGGGTTTGTGCCAGCTGGATGTGACTTTGCCCCACATTGTCTACCTCTGCAAAGGAAAAAAACAAATATATATGCCTAAGAAGACTGTGTTGCTCAAGACAATTGCTTTAGCTGACATCAAACTGACCCAGGAGACCTCTTCCATCCAGGGTCCCTTATCATCATAGGCCTCACCTCACACATCCCCTTGTCGAAACATACAAAGCAGTGGCACTTTTAAAACACCCTTAAAACATAGCCTGTCTATGTAAAGAGCTATTCAGGATCAGTCATGACAGGGCCTGCACTTCAGTTTAATAAAACTTATAAACAAGGGAAGTTAGTGAAAAGAGCACGCTCATATTTCCCCCTCATCCAGATTAATTCAGGCGTGTTTCAACACATCACACCCTAACGCACCTGTCTGGAATAGGCATGGCTCTTGGCTAGCAGAGAAGCAGCCTGGGGCACTGAAAAATAGATGCTAAAAACTTCAGGCACATCTTCACTGTCGCATTGAGCTGGCCGGGCTGAAGGAGAGGGGCCATACCACAAAACAGCAGCTCATTTGCAGCTCATGAAGCTAAGCTCATTCGGAGCTAAACCAAACTGCAGCATGCCGCTAAGCCGTTTTTGCACTACTAGCTCACGACTCAACAGCAGCCCGCAGCTATTCATGGTTTAGCTACTGCAAAGACGTCGCTCACTACGGACATCAGCCAAGGTACGAGGCAGCAGACCAATCTGCATAGGGTGGGCAGCAGCAGAGCTCTAGCTGCACAGATTTGTACAGCACTGGCCCTCTGTGTACAGATGTGGCTGCTTGCTTACACGCTTTCACTGCTCTCAGCCAGGCTGGCTAAATTAAAGCCAGTACATGTGCATTTACCCAGGTGGGCCAGCTGGCTGATATTGGCTCACAGCCAGGGCAGGAGATGCCCTCACAGATGGGCATCTGCCAGGTTTGAGCGCCCATCTGGAGATGCTTCAGAGAGAGCTTTTCAGATGCAGCAAGGGCCCGCAGGACCCCAATTTCTGCTCAAAAGACAAGCTAGAGCAGAAGAGCAGGAGACAGACAGGGCACCACCAAGGAGCCCTGGAAGGGTTTTTCAGGTCAAGCTAGGGCATTGCAGGTGGACAAGTAAAACTGCTAAAGACGAAGGGATGTATTTTACCTTTGAGATGAAGTGCTTCTCCCTTCACCTATTGCAGTTCAGCAATAAGGCAATGACAAAAGACCTCAGGACCCACGGCAACGAGCGGGCAGCGTAACATGGCCAAAGCACCATTTTTTAGATGCTCTGATCAAAAATCTAAGAGAGTCCAGGAGGGACTCCGCACAGGTGGGCCTTCCTTCTCCCGCTTTTGCCTGGAGCCCTCAATCCCCAACTCAGTCTGCTGGGCTGTGGGTCTCCAAGAGGCTGAGCTAGGCCAGGAGACATGTATGTAGTCCTAGGACAACCACTGACTTTCAGAGATTGTTTCACCACTTTTCCTTCCCCATGCATTTCTATGCATCTGCCTGAGCAGGCACATGCGAAGTATCTACCCTGCTTCTGGTACCCAAACTACCTCTGTCTGAGCTCATTCAGGTATCTCGGCACTGCACTGTACAATGGAAAGCTGTGGTGGAAAGACGGATGTCTCAAAAGCAGGGATAAATACTGGAGATATCTGTGAGGATTAAGAGCCTGTAGTTTCTGACACACTTAGATACTTCTGCTGTGACACACTCTTCATACACTGCAGTTGTTCAACTCGCCTAGAAACCACGCAGCTGGAGGAAGTGCTGGGGAAACCTAAGGAGAGGAGAGGAGCAGCAGGTTGCGTCCTTTGCTCTACAGTCTGATTTTACAGCCCATGACTGACTCAAGTATCATAGAGTTTTGGAGACTTCTCTAGTATTTTCTTCCCAAACAGCTACCTGCAGGCTCCAGTGCTGCCAAGTGTCTTAACAAACTTGAAGAAGTTACTTACGTTGCTTGAAAACATCAAGAGATCTCTTCAGGGTGCTGCAAAACACAGGCACAATATTAAAAGAATGAGAAAGCATTGCCAGGCCCGCTGTGCAGGCTTTACCAACAGCAATAGCAAAGCACTTCTCCTAAACTGGCAAGTGAGTCCCCGACTGGACACTGGCCAAAGCAGCCTGAAGCAGGTTTATCTACCTTCTTTACACTTTCAGCTTTTTCCTTCTAAGTGGGTATAACACAGCTCACTTGCTTAGATATCTACTCTTTATCTTCTTTCCAGACATTGAATATTATTAAATGTTCTGAGTTGCAACAGAAATGTTTCAAGCAGCCTCCCATAAGTACCTCTTGGACTTATGAACATTTTCAACATGTTTTATTGGCCAGTGGTTGGAAATGTAGGAAACTTTTCTCCCTGTTAATATACGGTGATGAAAATTTCAGAAACATATTAAATAACAGTCCAAAATAAAACTGTAAACAAACAACCAGAGGATATCAAACTGGGCATGTATGATGTACAGAAACAAAGCAGGCAACAGAAGATGCCAAGGGTCATCAGGGAAACGGAGTTAGAGGACTGGGCACACTGGTTTTCTCCCATCTCCTCGGGGGGGATTTAGAGGTGAGGTGCTCTAGCTGTCCTCTTTCTTCCAAGGGCTTGCCCAGGGAAAGCTGGCAACACCACACGCTTCAGAGCTAAATTCTGCTTACAGCTTGCCATATCCACTCTGAGAGCCAACCACGGTGGCAGCGCTGCCCGCGCAGGATGGCAACGCAGTGCCTTTGAAGATGTGCACAGTTTGACTCAAGAAAGTAAAGGTACTTTCCTCTAGCTACAAAAAGTCAGGAGCAAAACCTAGGTCTCCTGATCCTCACCCCTCTGCCTAACCACCAGGCCACATCTCATCTGAGTGTCCACGAAGCAGTGCACTTTGGTTAGTCTATGGCTGAAGTGAAGTTGGTGGAATCCAGCTCGATTACTGGCAAAAGCCAACCTAACTGCCCTTCTTCATTCACAAGACCAATTTCAGAACATCTTTCAGTAACATCGCCATTGCATTTCAAGATTGTTTTATCTCTCACCAGCCTCCTTCATTCACCTCCTCCTTCATTGTTCCAACTAAGGACACCCATCAAAGCAAAACACACACGTGACTGAACTTACTTCAGCTCTGTCTGCCCACAGGGCTTCTTCTTTGACAAGTTAATGAGCTCCTTGCCATATTTTTCTTCTATGATTGCCCTGTTGAGGAAAGAGGGACGATAGAGGCGCATTTCAGAAACCGACTCTTGTTTTCAGCAGAAGTCAAGAACAGAAGGAGTTTCCCAAGAGATGCCCCCTGAGTTTGGACAAGGGAATAGCGGACGAGATGAACAACATCCCGTGACTGCAGCGACAGTGCTAGCATGGCCATTTCCCTCCCAGGCCACCACAAACCACCCAGTGCTATATGCAGAATCCTGCCGACTCCCGACCTGGTGGAGGTTATACAGGAAGGGAACGCAGTCACACTGCTGTGACCCAGCACACAACCCTTGTGGGTTGACCACCCACAAGGAGCTAAGATCCACTCTTATTAGATATCTCATCCAATCTCCTGTCCTGCCACAAACAAACCACGCGCGGTTCGTTGAAGTAAGGCTGTTATTTGCAACTACCCAGTGGTCATTCTAATGAAAACACACTTTGCTTTGCCGCAGCTCTGGTACCGATGTGTAGCCCTCTCCATCTCCCAGTAGCTGATGGTTGTAACAACCACCTCCACAGGTGATGGAGGACTACGCAGGCTGGCTTAGTCCAGTCCTGATGGCTAAGTCCAGTCAGGCAAGTCATCTGAGTAGGTTTTAGCTCAGTTTCCTAAGGGAGCAAGGTTTGTGTGATCACACATTTTCTGCACCTTGGTCATCAGTGTCTGTCTGTACCTCCACACAGAGTGCTTTCCAATCCACTGTCTGATTTCAACCCTATCGGATGGAAAGGATTAGGGGGTCTCAAAGACAGTTCAACTGCCCTACACTTGTTCCAAAATTCAGCTGGGCCGTTTCAGTTGTTTGAGAGTTGTACAGGACTTTTTAAAATGAGGCAATAGCTACCATCTCCTCCCCTCTTCTCATCTTTAGAGATAAATTCTGAAGAAAAGCCTACCTCTTGCGGTGGTAAGATCTAGGTAACACCTTTGAGAGATCATATTGTCCTCTCTTCTTTGAAGAGAGAGTTCAAATACAATACACAAAAAGATCACAAGAGAAAACGTGAGTGTTGTATTCTAGCACCAATCAGCCTTTTGCAGTTGGTTTGAAAGCTGTATGGACAGTCAGGGCTGGACGTGCATGATCAAATGTGGATATCTATGTCCGAGCTAGCTGCCCTAGCTGGCTACAGACAGTCAGTGGAGAGAAACAAGTCCTGCTACAGGCTTGCACTAGAGGCGCTACTGGATAAAATAAATTGTTTCCTAAACTGTCTTTATTTCTAACTCAGAGGCAGATGGCTATATTGTTATTTCCACAGTTTGGGGGTGGCGTTCACTTCATTTACCTCTTTAAAAACTACACAAGCTTGTAGAGGAATGGAAAAAAATAAAGATTATAAATTGATTTTTTTCCTCTATCTAACCATTTTCATGAACTTCCATTTGAGATATGGCATCAAATCCAACAGGCATGTCCTCTGTGGCTGGGACTGTGTAATAGCTGTAGTATTCATGGAGAACTGTGCCATGAACAGAGAGGGATACCAGTAGCAAGCCCCGGTTTGGGAGAAGAGCACTCTTGAGACAGCCTGAACTTCTGCAATCTCTTCCTGGCTAGATACATTGGTGAGGACCTACAGCACCTTCAGCGGTAAACATGAAAGGGGCACAGGGTGCAGAGCATGCGTTTTGCACTCTCTCCACTGTCACTGATGAGCGGGCTGCAATTCTCATGGTTCAAGTACTCAGTGGATGGTTCCTTTGGCAGCTAGAAAGCTCTCATTTTGCTGGAACATGGGGTTTCAGACTAAACAGATGTAGGTGCATTAGACAGATTTTAATTGTAAGTCCTCCTGCTCTTCATCCCCATTACATGTGTTTCAGGCTTTTTTGTCCCAAGTTTTGTATTCACAGGTTTGTTTCCTCCAGTTCTGAATACCGAAATCACATTAATTCAGGGTTGTTCTGCAACAGTCTTTGTTTTTAGCCATTGCCAGCCAAGTGAACTATAAAGCCAAAATACTTTACTAGACCATCTCAGTTATGCCTTTGTAGCCTACACAACCTCCACTTAGGTCAAGACCTCTGATTAATAAACATGCTATCTAATGCTATTTCTTTTTAACATAAAGGCTGTAGGCTATCCACAATAACACAAAGACAGGAATAAAGAGCTCAGGACTCCTTGCAGTTTTCCAGTTCTGTCTGCAAAGACACGTGTCTCCCATGCTAAGATATTCAGCTGATTTTGCGCAGGCTGAACTGTGATTCTGCAGGGACACTCGGCACGGTGAGCTTCCTGGGAGAGCGTTTCACCCAGGCAGGTTACCGATGCCTTGCAGCACATAAGGCTGAAGTATTCAACTGCTCCTGATTCCTCTTTCTTTTTTACACAGATAATTCAAAATGTGAGCATCGGTTGAGCCCTGGGCTTTGTAACTAGCAGCATCAGCTGCTTAACAATTGAGGATTGCTGAGTATGGGACTTCATACCACAGTACCAGCCTTGTAAGGAAAGGACCATGTAAAAAGACAAGCTCCTCATCATTCAAAAATCTAAGATGCTTTACACAGTGAATAGCTAAACACAACAGAAGACAAACTGGGAATATAAGAAACAGAAGTGAGTGCAACTGCTTCACTTCCCAGGTTCAACCAAATCCATTTTCAGAGGCAACTCCGTACCTTTCCTTCAAAAAGTCTTCAAACTCTTTGCAGTTCTTCCTGCCGTCATTCAAATGTTGAATGATGTTGTCATAGCCAACCGTGCTCGTCAAATCCGTACTCTGAAAACACAAGTTAAGAACAAAAGTCACATCCCTATCAGTGCAGTCCGTGGCCGTTGTCACCTCTAGCAGGATTTACACAAGGAATGGCTCAATCAGGAGCCAGTGTGCCAGTGCCTGTTTCTGTTTCACCTATAAACTATATAAAAATATACAAACTTTTTGTTTTGGGCTAGGAGGCAGTTCCAGAATGAGAAAAGTGAAGCCAATTCAGGACAAGGATCTTTTATGGCTTTCAGAAAACAGAAAAGCTCAGCCTTAGTTCTACAGCATCGTAGAAACACGCTCTCCCCCGGCCTGAGCGTGGCTGGCCCCAAGGCACATCAAAACTGCTCCTTTAGCGCTGTCTCCCCTCCAAAGCTGGCACAGCCCTTTCCATCCTGTCCCTTCACAATGCCCTTCTCTGTTCTGCAGTTGAGGAACCGAGACACAGCCCAACAGATTTAGATCCTGAAAAATATATTTGAGAACTTGCATAGCTTTCAGAAGAAAATGGACCTATGTGGCTCACCCAGGTTTATACTGCAAAAACACAAAGATTAAGCCCAGATCTCCCATGGCCCACACAGCATAATGAGACATCTCCTCCTAGGAGTTTAGCTGTCCGTGCTGGCGTAGTGAAATAAAATGCTGAAAAAGCTCCAAGTCTCGAGATACATCCCATATTACTACTGCTTCTCCCAGTTTCTGCAGACACCAAGATTCATCTTGGTTATCATTCACTTGCACTACTCTGGGCACCAGCCTCATCTCTAGCCTTGCTGTACGACCCCCACATCCAGGTTGGAGGTGATCTCGCAGATCTTTCTGCCCAGGATGTCTATGCTGCGGGCTGTCCTCACCGCCCACGCAGTAGCGAGTGGATGTACCCAATGGCTGCTCCTGCAACAGCCTTTTCTTTGGCCTTGTGAAAAGCAATCCTGTTCCACTCACATCAGTTCAAAACACTAGTGCCAAGATCATTTCCCCCACTACCAGGTCCTCCTCCACCAATGCTGCATGCCCTCCGCGAACCACCAGCACCTCACATAGGTCTTCAGTCTCCCAGAAATATCACCGCCACTGAAAGGTCCTGCATCCTACCACCGATGGGGCCAACTCCCATCTTCCCACAATCAAGTCCCAGCTCTGCAGTGCCACTCACGCTGCAGAGAAGCTTGCCATAGACTTTCCTTCAAATTATTTCTTAAAAATGCATATTTTGCTGTGATGTTTATTAAAAAAAAAGGATACCTATGACAATGATGTCGATGGGCTAGGATGAAGGTTAAATAACACAATCCCATTCTTTCCTCATAACTCTACCATGGCCATATGCTCCATAGGACAAAAAGTGGATTTTTGTCCTACCATTGGTCAGGATTTACCACCCTGGGAGCCTGGGCCAAAAGCAGGACTCCTAAGTGCTATGATAATATAAAGAAGAATGCTCTGACCATGAACCCTCCTTCTGCAGAAAAAGCCCAAAGCAGATGCACGGAGCTCAACAGAAGGTGCTACCTGGCATCTTCTGCAAAAAGAACTGGTTTGTGTTGTATGGGACAGTACGTATAGGAGCAAAACATATACGGAAACAGGCTGCAGAAAGGAAGCAGCGGCAGAAGCAGATATGCAGCTCAGAAAAAGGAAGCAGAAGCCACAAATAGTTATTAAAAAGCTTAAGGAGGAATAATGGCAGGATGGAGAGATTCAGGAAATGGTTTCAAGCAAAGATGACAGTGTGTAGATAACTGGAGGGAAAGCGTGGGAGGCAGAGGGAGAGATTTCTCAGGAGTTTGTACCCAGCATGAGAAGCAGGACTAGTATTTGTGGTAAATCACGCATTTCAGCATTGCGGACTTCCCTAAGGGGTCAAGGATTTGAAAGTCAGTGGCAAGAAAGCAAGACATAAAGCAGAGATCTGGTGAAATAGAACCAGCTGGAAACCCCCGGGGACCACAGGTCAGTTTTTCTCTGTCTGTGCCCTGGACGGGGAAGAAGGCACTCTGGAGCAGGACCCTAAGGGGCGAGCTGATCCCCAAATAGCCTCTGTTCGTTTAATGAGCTCACACCTCCCCAAAGTGAGCTTATTACTGAAAACATGCAACTGGTTCGCAGCTTGTGTTGCATCTTTGCTCATGTGAAAAAGGAAGCACGCTTACGCTGAAATCAATTCTCATGACGGTTGCAAAATTCAAGAACATCCTAACTTGACTTCCTATCCCCCATTTAAAAGGAAATAAGATAGAGGCAGAGAGCAACTTAGCGGCATACGTGCTGCTCAGTCAGTCTCAGCCTGGGAAAAACACAGCAATCAAACAGGTAACCCTCTATGTGCGTAGCAGAGAGAGCGCTAGTAACTGAAATAAACAGGGAATGAGCTCTCAAGATCTGCACACACCACTCTGGAGGTGGTCAGGAATCCCCCTCCCAAAAAATCCCAAGATTTTCCCAATAAAATAGCAACATTGATCCAAAAAAGGCCCAAATTAACCCATCGGAAAAAAACCCAACTACAGTTCCCCAGCTGCCCACCTCTCAATTTCCTTTTCAACCTGTAGATGCTCTGGACGAGCCAGAAGAGGCCAAATGTGGGGTCTGCCCAGGCCACCATCGGGGACAGCCAGGCTGCCTGACCTCCATCTCCCAAACCTCGTGTCTGCCTCCTTTCCCAGAGAGTGGAAAAGGAAACCAACCTTCCTGGCTTGCAACCAGGAAGCCTATAATCCCTCCATTTCAATTGTCTTAAGATGTGTTTAGTTTTTACCCTCTCCCTAAGAAAAATGGCCATTTATTTGCCTTTCCAACAGATTCAGATGCGTTTTTGCTTTCTGTTTTGGGGAATGAGCCATTTTTTCCCTCCTTCCTCCACGGACAAGGTGCAGAAGACAACCCCCAACCACCCACAGAAGTCAGGGCTGGCTGGCTTGTTCGGAGAACAAGAACGAGCCAGAACAACCTTGCCCTTATCAATGGCTCTTTTTGGAAAGAAATGTTCACGAAAATGCATTTTGCATTTTCACAACCTCCTTAGCTCACAGGAGGATGGAGATAGAGAAATAGTTACCCACAGGCCTACACCCAAATGGCTCCTACACAATGCTTTGCTGCCTGGGCCTGACAGCTCACTATGGCAGACAGAAGTGCCCAGGGAGGATATGACATGTCAGCACAAGTGGGAACAGCTGGTTCACCTGGCTCCAATACTGAGAAAAATTGTGACGGCATCCATCACCAAATGTGCGTTAAGCTCTTTATTTTATAGCCCTTCCTCCTCCGCAAGAAGGATTTAACTCCTGCATGTATGTACTTCCTAAGCACCTTCAAGCCCAAGCCTGGACCAAACTCTATTGTGTGACATGTTATACAGAATACAGGACATAACCGACCCCAACACCAGCAGTAGTATAAAACCAGCATAAAACAAGTGGATGCTGGCCCACGGGAAGAGGGTCCTTGCCCAGCAGAAACTGTGCTAGGCAGAGTAATGAGGCAGGGAAACAACTTTTGCAGGTCGTTCTGGGCAGATGTCAGCACAGAAGAATGAAGAACAATGCAACAGGTTGCGGGATCTCCCAGTGGCAGGGCTGGGAGGTAGCAATGGAAAGGAAGGGGAATAGGGAGAGGACAAAGCCATGGATGCAGAGGGAGGACAAGATTTAAAGATGAACATTAAATACACTAAGTCATAGACAACCATGGAGTAGGATGGAGTCCTCAGTCAGGGATTTAGCTAAAGGAAGGACAGTACAGATTTTAGGAACTGTTGCTAAAGGAGGTTTTGTACTTTAAGTCAATTCTCCATTCTCCACTAACGCAACAGCTGAGCAGGAAGAAATCTCCCTGGTAAACAGGGGCTGGCCGCGTATTGGCCGTACAGCTGCTTCCTGACAAGCACCAAGCAAGCAACCCGAGCCACGCAGCACCCGATCCTCCCGGTCATCCTGTCGGCTGGTAAAGCCAGTGCGCCACAAACACGGCATGGTCCTGCTGTCGCAGCGCACAGTGAGCAGAAGGGCTTCAAGGCCACGCTTGTGTGCCATGAGTCCCAGGCTGGAGGCACAGCAGCCATCCCTGGTTGCACCGAGCCCTCCTCAAACTCCCCCTACACACAGCGCTTAAACATCCCCTCGCTCCCTGGTGATTTCTTTTCTTTCGAGTATTTAGCAGGAATAACGCAGAAAGTTATACAAGAGCAGAAGTTCTCCTTGGAAAAGGGAAAAAAGAAATGGCTGCTCTGCCGTCGTACCTTAAGAGAACAGAAGTTACCCCAAAATTGCTGCCAACCCCAACTTCGCTCTGCCAAAATCAATACCTTTCTTCCCTTCCAGGCTAGAGACTGATTTCCAGCAGGGCTTCAGCTTTCACAAAACCAGTTCCCCTCCGTCCTCTGCCGCCATGAACACACAACTGCGTCCTCCGTCCACAGCCACCAGCCTTTTCACCGGAAACTGCTATACTGGCTTGTGCATAAAACACCTGCTGTTGGAAAGGTGACCTGAAAAGCTCTGATGGGGAACGGGTCACAAAGCCCATGTTATCAAAGCACGTTTGGCCAAAAGCAGGTAAATGACCTGGATGAATTACACCAATGGGGAGGTTTCTACCTCAAAGCACCAAATCAGATCCCACCTCCTGTATAGGAGTCCTTCAGGGACACACACGGCGATGGCTATGATCTGAAAAGCATGGATGTAAACTCTTCTCCAATTTCAAGCAGTCTCTGGCACTGCAAACATCTGCTAAAATTGCCAAGTTTTCCCCCATCGGGAGCCTTTGGCAGGTCTGGGAGGAAGCTGGGCTGATATGCTCCAGGGATGCGCGACAGCCCCATCTCCTACACACGGCACTGCCCTGCCCACGGCAAGACCCTCAGGCAACGGGGAGTGTGCCGTCAGCACCCACCAGCCCCACACCACTGTCTGAGCCACCCAAACCAAGCTCAAGACAGAGCTCAAGAAAAACATGGCACACACGGGATGTTCCCGCAGGTTTGGCTGCGGGAAAAGACCCATCAGCACCCGGGAAAGGGGGAAGTAGCTGGAATAAAATCAGATTGGCTCCTTCAATCTGCTCCTCCTCTCATCAGCAGCAGGGTTGGGTGTCATCAATAAAGTACCTGATGACAGAGGGATTTAAAAAAAAACACCCAGGCCCATTTCACAGCTGAGAAACTGAGGCACAGCTAAACCACTCATCACCAGCGTTCAGCGAGTCAGTGAAGAGCCAGCGAGGGAAGCTAGGTCTCCGGCTCCCAGAACAGCTCCCAATGTGCCACTTCCCTTATCCGACGCAGAGAGTCCTCAAACTCCTTTTCGTACGAGCTGAACGTAAGAGTTTTGCAAAAACAAAGTCGATAGGTGATGAAAATTTGACGTAGTTTCACAGCCTTCACTTGATGCAAAGGCCAGAAGGATTTTCTTTTCCTTCCAAGGGGCTCCTTCTGAATAACGTCTCTTTAGCATCAGGCTCAGCCCATTGCCACCAGCCTGAATTTGGCTTTGGGCGCTTAAGAACTGGCAGAGCCCTTACTGGAAAGGCTGACGCATGTTGGATATGCAAACTGGAGGGAAGCAGGGAGGGTATCGTGACCGGCACAAACCAGGCTGTGGTTTGGGACACGGTCCAAGGCGGGGGGGAGCCCTGGCAAGCAATGGCCTTGTGTCCTCTCTCGCAGGCAATTTTGGCTCAGTCTGAACTAAATGGTGCTGGGGGAGGAGTAAAGATGCCAAAACTCATTGGAAAAAAAAAAAAAAGGAAAAGGCAGGATCTAGGAGCCTCCAGGAGGATTTGGACCCAGCATATGCAAGCTGGGGCACAACGCATGGAAAACGAGAGGGACATCAAAGAAAGAACTAACCATGACTACACTGCTGCAGCAAGATCAGGTCTCAAGGCTGCCTTTGCTCCTTCAGTCCCTTCCTCTTTGCCAGCCAGCTTCTCACCTCCTGCCAGTGCAGCACGAGACCATCATGGTCTTTACCGCCTCTTGGACTCCCTAGTGGAGCTATTAACGGACATGCTATTTAGGGTATTGTCCATGGAAACTGAAAATAGATCATTTTAGGTGACAAAGCAGCAGCTGATGTTTCCAGAGAGCGCACAACGGATGTAAAACGCCGAAGGAATGGAAACTCCCATTTCAAGCTTTACAAAAGCGCTCCAGGGCTCAGCACGGCTCAGCGCTACTTACCAACAAAAAGCAGACACTGCCTGCTGCCCAGGTTTGCTCTATTCCACCCCTATAGATTCCTATAGACCCCCTATGGGAGAAGGAATTTCTCTGCTCATGAATAACTCCAGCAAGCTGAAACAATTTGAAGTTTCACAGAACAAAAAAGTAAATAAGGGATTCAAATCCACACCACACGTGGAAAAGTGCCATTTCCGTTCTGAAATGTGTGATGCTTCAAACTGGCATAAAATTACTGCCTGGAAATTTGCTTGCATTTTTAGCAAGAGGGGCTAAAATGCTGTAACATGGCATCTGCATGAGTCACAGCTGAAAGGAAAACTGTTTGATTTGACCTTTCCATTCTCTACCCCACTTTTCAGTGAGGTCTCCCTGCAGACCCATACCTTACAAAGACAACGGTGTGGGAGAAAAAGCTGTTCGTCCTAATCTCCCCAGAAATAAAAGGGTTTGGGCACAAAAAGATTTGGAAAGTGTTGCAGTTTAGTATTTGGTCCTGGCATTTTTTAACCATGCCTTTATATACACACATCCTCAATTCTTCACAGCTTGAGCTGCCAAGTAAAATCAGAGCTGGGCAGCTGTGGAGCCAACAAGCCAAAACACTCAGCAAGGGGCACTGCGCTGCTCACAGAGTCCTGAGTACTGCTTGAAAGATCTTTATTTATGCAGAGGTTTTAGTATCTCTTCTCAACCTTACGTGCTTAGAAAAACACAGCAGTAGAGGGATGTCTATTTTAGTATTCAGAAACACTGCGCAGAGGTAAATGGCTGTGCTATTCTGGCTCACAGGCAACGCAGTCTAGTCTCAAAGTTTCTCAAGGTCCTGCAGAGGTTACTGGGACCAGAAAAAAATCTTTATGCTCATTTCTCCAGGGCTCAGAGGTAGCACCAAGGCTTTTTGAGGTATCCCTTTCCCCAAGGAGAATGAAAAAACAGATGGCAAAGCCTAAACCAAGAGGACGGACCCACTTCACTGCAGGTTGAAGTTGCTCTTAGCTCTCGTTCAGTGCAGGCGCCATAACAGAAGAAATGAGTGTGGTCCCTAGGGCAGTGTAGGACCCCAGAGCATCGTCCTACCACCCCATACGATGCAATGCCTGCCCCAGAGCAGCACTGACTGCACTGCAAAGTCAGCTGAATTTTTTATGTTGGGAGAAGGGGGAGCAGTTTGTATCCTCCAGCTGTGCATTTTTTCCCATAGATTGACAGCCCACTCGGACACATACCTAAATTCGAGGGCTTGCCAAATTGTGGCTACTTGTCTCTATGAGCACGAAGAGTGCAGAAGGGGTTGCAAGAAGCTGCAGTTCCTCTCCATCATGTAACCAGGTGGGTACAGCATACCAGACAGAACTAATCGTAATGGGGAGGAACAGCCACCTTAGAATGGCATCCTATGAAAACCAGCATTTCAATTGATAATTTTCCATGCAAACTTGTAAGAGCTGTCCTCGCTCTATACGAACAAACGCACATCCTGAAAGTCCCAAATATGCATGTTAAAAAAAGAATAACAGGCCATCAAATTCTATGCAAGTAGATCTGTGCATAAACCCCACCTCACTCCTTTTAAATGGCAGCCTGAGGATTTAATAACGCTACTGATAAACTCCACAGTACAAAGACAGTCCCGTTTTAGAGAAAGACAAGTGGAGGTAGAGGGAAGTGAAATGGCACACCCAATGTCACACTGTGAGTCAGCAAGCAGGGAAAGAACCCAGGAGTCCGGGCTTCCAGCCCCCCCGCAACCACTGACCATGCTCTCCTCTCATCCTACCCCAGGGTAGCGTGGAAACAGGAGCCTCTGTGAAAGGAGCCAGAGTTTATCCCAGACCAGCCTCACGAGGCCCTGTGGGTGCTGCACAGCTAGAAAAAAACGCAGCAAAGAAGAAGAAATAGAGCCCAGGTCACTGTTTCAACAGGAACGACCTGAGCTGCCAGAGCACTGGGTTCACCTCCCCAGCAGTGGAACCCAACCGACCAAGCTGAATTTCCCAGGGTGCAAACAAAACATGCTGTCCTAGCCACCCGCTACACCTTCCCCCTTGCAAAATATCAGATACAGCTAGTGATAACAGGGGTCCGCTACAAGGAATCGCTGGTTCCTTTTCAGACGCTGCATCTCCCTTGTTCTGCAGTTTGGGGCAAACGATTTCTTTTCCACTGCACTTAATTTCTGCTGAGAGAGATGCAAGAGCTCTTTGCTATGCACCGGGGGGGATACGTAAGTCTCTTGCAGAAACTTTGTCACGTACTTTGTTAGAAAATGAAATACATAAGTGCATCTTTTACTCCAGACAACTTGACTGAGCCATAAACTGTTTTACTAGAATCACTTTTTCTTGATGTGAAAAGTTAGTATTTGTGGGCACCTAAAGACTTAAACACCTACATCTCCTTTTCAAAAGTCACTTAACCTGATCAACCTCAGTGGAAGTTAGCAAGTCTCAGTCTTCAACATCATCGTCTCTGCACATCTTTCTTATGTGCTACCAAATACTTCTTTTCAAAGAATCCTGCTATACAATCTGCAGATAGAAGGGCACTTGTTCTTACCTTATTCTAAGCACGATGCTCTCATTATTCTATGAACCTGCTCTCTGGGCTGCGAGTTCTTAGCCAATAGACTTAAAGTCTATTTTAGCATTACCATCGCCTCTGTTTTTCCCACCTAGTTTTACAGGTACCTACAATGACCACTATGTTCTGATCAGACCAAATGCCTTGCTGGTGAGTTACCTGAAACACTCTGCAAGAGCAGATTTGGGGAGAACCAGGCACAGATATCCAGGAAGTGAATGAAATGAAAGAAGACATCCCATGAAGAAGAACAGCAGGTTGCAAAAACAGATGAAAACAACACCCCATGCTTGCTCAACTCACAGCAATTGCTGCAGAGGAAACAAACAAGATGTTAGGCATATTTTTATTTGTAGTGCAGCTGTGAAGCTGCCTGCAAAAGAGCTCTCTTAGCGCAGGCTGCGGGATGCAGCAGCGCTTGAGCTGGGGCTGTTCGGGGGCAACGCCGGCCTACGGCGCTGCTGCCCCCCACTGCTGCCACAGTCCCCATACTTACAGCTTTGGGCATCTTCCAACCTTGGCTCCCAGGTGAGCCAGAGCTTTAGATAGATGCAAAAGAGCAAGACCTCTTCATTCAAAGCAATTTATGAGCTTATGCTGAGACCTAATAAGATAAGCAAAAAAACCAAGCAAGGGAACAGAGGTTACAGCTGCAAGACCACATGGTTTCCAAACAATTTCCATCCAACATATCGAGCAGCAGAGAACAAACTCAAAACCGTGCTTTCTCAAAGCTATGCCTCCGCTCACCCAATGGCAAGGCCATGCTATGAACCACATCAGGGAACAGGTTCCAGTACAGGAAAAAATAGACACACACAACCCACCAAAGAAATGAGAACAGTCGGGGTTTACTGCTAAATCTGTCCCCAGACGAGGTTCACAGCACAGTCCCATTGCCTGCTGCTGCAGCAAAGCAGAGGGTGCTGCAGCCCACAACAGGGGCTTCGAAACGAGACAGGGAGATGAGACTACTGTCACTTTTTAAGTTAATGAAACCACAGCCTACGGTCTGTTCGTACTTGTGATGGGGCCAAGGTCCCAGTAGCCAAACAAAATAAGTCACTTCTACTCTCACAGAAAAACTCGGACATTTATTGTCATTCAGCAAAGTTCAAGCTTGTCCCTACAAAGAAACTCGGCAGTCATGATTCACAACCTGCAGCGCGTCAACGCTGCAAGCCGCAACGCTGCAAACGCCTCGGCGTTTGGGGGGTTTTGTTATATTTAGACTTTGTCCCATCAACTGCAGGGCTGAAATCCTCTCCCTCTGCCTCCAGCCCATGCCTAGCCCACAGCACCCACTGCCACCAGCGGAGGAGAAACACAAACTGTGACGCTTCCTGGAACAGACGCAGCCCTCCAGAAATTTTCCCTTTCCCGTAGAGTTGTCCTGGCCACTGCAAAGTCATCTGGTTCAAAAAGTAGAGTTCTCCTTCCTCTTCCCTTTTTGGTTTAGATGAAGTGAATAAAGAGGAAAGATTGCAGGAGGAAGTTAGCACTCTCTCACTGTACGTACAGCATGCGAAAGCCGTAAAAGTCTCATTAAAACTCAGGTGTTTCTGCTCATCTCTCATTCCCCTTCCCTCCCAAGCACCTGCAGCTGACGCACTGTCCCTTGCGATTTGTCTGTAGACAATTTGGGATAGGATCTGCCTTTCCCATATACGAAACGAACGCAGCATGGTCTTGAGCTCTCCCCTGAGTCAATATTTGTCACACTCCTCTCCACCCTCAGCTAGTCCGACAGGAGCAAACCGAAGAGAGACTAACTCCTAGTCCCAGGGTTTGCTTCGACATCGAAGCAACCTTTCCGGCCGTGGGAACTGGTTCGCAAGCAACCAGTTATTAATAGCGAAGCCTCAGCCCAGCGCCGACTTGCTGGGGCACGTTTGGGTTACGTGGGGCAGGTGGCGAAGCCAAGGCCCCCCCGGCTTTTCGGCAGCGCTGGCGGCGCGCGGAGCCGCCCAGCCTTTAGCGCCGGTGGCCCGAGCCTCACCGTTTTCGCGGGGACGCCAGATTTCAACGGCCGCGCGGGCTAGG